GCCTGGCCTTGGGCACTGCCAGGGATGCAGGGGCAGCCCCAGCTGCTCTGTGCTCTGCAAAACCATCATGGAGGATGGCCTGCCTGTGGGGGAAGCTCTCCATGCTCTCCTTTGGACAGTGCTGCCTTTGGAGCCTCCACTCCACGTTTCTCCCCCGGCACTGCCAGCTCTGAGCATTGCAAGAGCTGCTGTGAAACTGCTTCGTTTCAGCCACAGCTCCCAGCACTTGGACACAACATCAGCATTATTTTTGTATTCATCAGTTATGTGTTATCAGCACAACCAATTGTGAAGATGGTGAAAACTGCTACTCCCATCCCAAAGGTGCAGAGGATGGAAACAATGAGAACTTGAGCTGTTCTTGGGGTTCTTGGGAGAATCTTGACAGTTCTTGGGGCTGTGCAGGGCCGGCAGCTGGACTCTGATGATCCTTGGGGGTCCCTTCCCACTCAGGAGGTCCCAGGATTCTGTGGTTCTGTGTTGCCCATGCTGTGTTTTGTGCCCCTACCCCACCTCACAGGGTGCCCAGGGGATGCTGAAGTTGCCCCTGAGCCTCCAGCACTTCTCCAGGTGGGGAATGTCGCCAGAGCTCCTCTGGTGTCACCTCTGGGTAGATGTGTCTGCAGAGCATCCTCGTGGTGCCCCTTGTGCATCCCCTCTGCTTCCTCCTGCCCGACCAAAATAGCCTGAAATGGGAAACTGAGGGGGCCATGCTGTGAACTGGAAGGGGGAACTTCTCAGCTTCAAGAAAAACCCCACAATGTCAGAGGAGGTTTAAGCCTTCCTGGTTCCCCACAAGCAGGCTTGGGGACACACTTTTTGCCATGATGCTGCCACCCATCAGGAAGGAGGCATTATTAATTATAGACTAATTAATTACAGGCTGCAGAGCTGGGTGGAGAGAAGCCTAAGGAGGTTCAACAAGGGCAAGTGTAGAGTCCTTGTAGACCCCGGGGAGGAACAACCGCAGGGGCAGCACGGGCTGGGGGTGACCCGCTGGAGAGCAGCTCTGCAGAGAAGGACCTGGGGCTGCTGGGGGATGGCACAGAGTGTCCTGGGGCCAGGGGGGACACGGGGACCCTGCCCCTCTGCCTGGGGAGGCACAGCTGGGGTGCTGTGTCCACTTCTGGGACAAGAAGGACAAGGAGCTACTGGGGAGGGTCCAGTGGAGGCCCCAAAGGTGATTTGGGGTCTGGAGCTTCTCTCTGATGAGGAGAGACCATGGGAGCTGGGCTTGGTTAATCCAGAGAAGACTGAGAGGGATCTCACCAATCCATACAAGCATCTCCAAGGGGAGTCAGAGGATGGTGCCAGACTCTGTTCTGGTGCCCAGCAACAGGACAAGGAGCAGTGCCAAAAACTAAACCACCAGAAGTCCCACCTCAACATGAGGAAGAACTTCTTTCCATGAGGGTGGCAGAGCCCTGGAACAGGCTGCACAGAGGCCGTGGAGTCACTGCCCAAGAGAGGGAGACTCAAAACCACCTGGATGTGTTCCTGTGTCACCTGCTCTGGGTGACCCTGCCTGGGCAGGGAGTTGAACTGGATCATCTCCAGAGGTCCCCTCCAAGCCCAACCATTCTGTGAAACACAAATTCCATTTTCAACATAGACTAAGTGACCAAAAGAGCTCACAGCAGGAAAATTTCCTCTGAGCTTTCATCCCACACTGTCCTGGCCATGAATGCCTGTGGAAAACCAGCGAGACTTATCCCATCCCATCCCACCCCTCCATCACTTGGCTTTGCTGAGCCACCAGCAGCAGCAGAGTGAAGCTCAAAGGTTTAATTACAATTGTTGACAGGGAAATTATGGCCACAGATGCAAAATTAGAATATAATTGTGTTAGGGAAATGTTTCATCTTCTCCCTGTCATCCCCGGGAGTGGAAGGCGGAGGGGGAGCAGCAGGAGAGGGATGAGGTTGGCAGGAGGCCCCACAGTGGGGGGAGTGACAGGGCTGGGGGTGCTGGGAGTGACACCAGTCCCAAGGGCCACTGGGCCCAGAGGAAATGTGGCAGAAGGTGGTGAATGGCTCCTTTGTACAGAGCAGCAGTGATGGGGCAACGCTTGCCTTCCTTCACCCAGAGCTGCAGAGGGACAGGAGCCAGGCAATGGCTCCCAGTGCCAGAGGGCAGGGCTGGATGGGATCTTGGCAATCAGGAATTGTTCCCTGGCAGGGTGGGCAGGCCCTGGCACAGGGGGCTGCCCCTGCATCCCTGGCAGTGCCCAAGGCCAGGCTGGACAGGGCTGGGAGCAGCCTGGGACAGTGGGAGGTGTCCCTGCCCAGGGCATGAGGATGGAACAAGATGAAGTCTAAGGTCCTCTCCACCCAACTGTTCCAGGATTTTATGATTCCATGTGCCTTGGACCAGCACCTCACTGCCACCCCACACCCCCATCCTTGCTGAATTGGAGCAGGGGCCATCCTCACCCCTGCAATGATCCATCCCTGACGGCAGGAGATGACTTTGGTCAGTGACCCCATTTAAATGCGGGCAATTCTTTCCACTTTAAAAAAAAGAAAATAAAAGCCAAATGGCCCAGAGCTGCAGGTGACAGCTGGCCCCAGATCTGGCTGCAGAAGGGTCAGGCACAGGGAAACCCAAACCAGCGCTGCTGACTGATGAGCCTGGAGCTGCCTGGGCAGGGCAGGAGAAGCAGCTTTAGCCAGGGAGAACAGCCCAGCTCCTCCAAGATCCCTGTGTTGGGATCCAAGGTGGGTGCAGGTGAACCCCTGCCCACACCTGCTGCAACCACATGCTTGTGCCTCTGCTCCTGCACCTCCTGAACCACAAGTAACTGGGCAAAGCACCATCCATCCACCCCCATGCTAAATCCCAGCTCCTCAAAAACCCACTGGAGAAGAGGTGGGGGAAACAGCTCACAGGACCCTGGGGAATGATACAAACTCCCTCACCCCAGAGGGCCAGACAGACACACATTCCACGGTCCCACTGGCACCTTTGATCCCAAGCACCTGCTAGGTGCTTCCAAGTGCCTGCACCGGCTACAACAGCAAAGTGGGCAGGGAGATGGGTGGGGATGTAAGGAGTTCTATGGGTGACATGAACAGTGGGACCCAGGGCACTTGGTGACACAGAGCTGCGTTATGGGGTCACACACTGGAGAGAAGGGATGGGAAACCACAGGGGCCTAGATGAGCTGGAGAGGAGGGATTGTGACAAATCATGAAGTCCAACAAATTCAATGAAATGTTCTGCACATGGGTCAGAGCAGTCCCAAGGAAAAGCACAGGCTGGAAAAAGAATGATCAGGAAAAGCCCTGGGGAGAAGTACTTGGGGTGTTGGTGGGTTAGAGGCTCAGGCTACCCCAGCCATGGGCACTGAGCCAGAAACCCCCCCTGTGCTGGGCTGAGCCCCCAGCGTGGGCAGCAGGGGAGGGGGGGATTCTGCCCCTGTGCCCCTGTGCTCAGGTGAGACCCCACCTGCAGAGCTGCCCCAGCCCTGGGCACCAGCAGCAGGAGGACGTGGAGCTGCTGGAGCCAGGCTAGAGGAGGCACGGAGATGCTGCAAGGGCTGGAGCCCCTCTGCTCTGGAGCCAGCCTGGCACAGCTGGGGCTGCTCACCTGGACAAGAGGAGGCTCCTGAGAGCCCCTGGCAGGGCCTGAAGGGGCTCCAGGAGAGCTGCAGAGGGACTGGGGACAAGGCCTGCAGGGACAGGAGCCAGGCAATGGCTCCCACTGCCAGAGGGCAGGGCTGGATGGGATCTTGGCAATCAGGAATTGTTCCCTGGCAGGGTGGGCAGGCCCTGGCCCAGGGTGCCCAGAGCAGCTGGGGCTGCCCCTGCATCCCTGGCAGTGCCTAAGGCCAGGCTGGACAGGGCTGGGAGCAGCCTGGGACAGTGGGAGGTGTCGCTGTCCATGGCAGGGGGTGGAACGAGACAAATTTGAGGCCTCTCCGCACCCGGCCCGCTGCGAGGTGACTCCAGAATGTCACACACGGACTCTGCATCCCAGCCCCGCTGCACTGCAGGGCCCGGCCGGGGCCGGGTCGCAGCCAAGCAGGCCGGTCCAGGCCTCAGCGCTCCCCGGTGCGCCCACACCGGGGCTGCCCCGGCCCTACCACCCCCGGGGCTGCGCTGTGCCGGGGGAACCGCCATCCCCAGCGGCGTGGAAGGTGCCCCCGGGGCCCCCGAGGGGGCGGCGAGGCCGGGCCACGGCCGCCACGCAGGTCCCGCCGGCCCCCTGCGGCCTCCCGGCGGGGGTTCCGGGGGGCGGTGGCTGCCAGGCAGCAGCTGCCGGGCGGGGGATCCGCGGCGGGACCCCCGGGACCCCGGCCCTGCGCGCCCTGCCCCGCCGGGGGCCCCGCCGGCAGCGCGGGGGGAGCCGGGCTGTGGGCGGTGACGGCACCCAGCGGCCTCCCCCGGCCCGCCGCCCCGCCCCCCGCTCGGTGGGCGGGGACCGCGACAGCCCGCGCCCTGGTTGGCCGCAACACCTGCCAATCACAGCAACAGGACATTTCCATTGGTTAGGGCCGTGCTGCCTTATCAGTCCATCTCGCGGAGCTCCGTTGTCGTCACCGTCGCTGCTCTCCCAGCCGCCCGTCCCCCTCCGCTAGGAAATATAGTCCCCGCCACGGCGGTGCCCCTGCCGCGCCGCCGCCGTCGCCACCGCCCCGTTCTGCCCTCCCGGGCGCGGTCACGCGCGTGCCGGTTCCGCGAAGCCCGCGCCTGGCGGCATCACCCCCCCGGCTCCCCGCTGTTTGTGCGGGCGGCGGAGCGATACGGCGGGGGCGGGGCGAGCGGCCGCGAGTCGTGAGGGCGTGCGGGGGGGAGGCGGCAGAGGCGGGCGCGGGGGGGAGCCGCCGTCGCTGGTGCTGCCGCCGCCGCGCGGGGAACTATGCAGGGACCGCGGGGCGGGCGGGCGGAACAGCGGCGGGAGGCGGAGCGGCAGCGGCGGCCCCGGCGGCAGCAGCAGCAGCAGCGTTAGGGCCCGGCCCGGCGCGGGGCGGGGCCGCGGGGCGGGCCGGGGCGCACGCGCCGCCCGGTGCGGGGCGATCGCGCCGCTTCGCTACATTGTATCCGCCGGCGGCGGAGAACAATAGGCGCCGCCGCCGCCCCCGGGCCTGGGCGCCGCGGCCGCCCCCGCCCCCGCCGCGACCCCCGACACCCTTCATGCGCTTCCCCTGCCCCGGGCGCGCCGGGCCTGGAACAGGTAAAAAACAAGATAAAATAAAATGTAGGAATAATAAAATAATAACCAAGCCAAGCCGGCCGCGCCGCCCTGGGGCTGCGCGGAGCGGGGGTCCCAGCGCAGCGAGCGCGGGGGTGCCGGAGCTGTGGGTGCCGGTGCGGCGGGGCTCGGAGCGCTCGCGGTGCGGGCGCGGAGCGGGACGGGACGGGCTCGGCGCTATTGTCCCCTCGGCAAAGTTTGCCGGGGCCGGGGGAAGGGGGGCGGCAGCGGCGGGGCGGGCTCGGGGGGCGTGCGGGCCACGGGGAGGGGGTGTGCGGTCCCCGCCGGGGAGGGGGGCCCGGTGCTCGGTCCTGCCGCGAACTTCAGCCGAGCACAGCCCGCCGCGGCCCCCCGGGGGTCCCGGAGCCCCTTCCCGGCTCGGGGGCTGCGGGAGCCGCGGGACCCAGCGCGGGGGCGGCAGCTTCGGCTTTCCACCCCCGGCAGGGAGGGGAGGCTCGTGGGGGCCGCTTCGCCCTCCTGCGCTCCCCGCTCTGGGCGGGGGCTGCCGGCCGGGACCCCCCTCCCTACGGCATGGGGGGCAGCGAACAACTTCAGCCCCGGCCCGCGGCCGTCCCGGGGCAGCCGAGCCTTTGTCCGGGCTGGGGAGGGACCCCGGGGGCGCGGACACTTCGGGGAGGGGGTCCTGGCCCGGCGCCCCGGCCCCCGTGGGCTGCTTTGGGGTCAGAAAGTGTGCGTGGAATAAATAAAAATAACCGTCCCAGCCTGGCTTTGGGGCGGCCAAGGGTTTTGTTCACGTTGTCCCCGGGTGCTTCGGGGGTGCAGGGTTTGGGGGGCTGGGAAGAGATGTGCCCTCCTCCTTCCACGGCTTCTCCTGGGTCTCGTGTCCCCCCAGCACCGCTTGAGGCACCGGGACAGAAGGTTGGGAAAGTGGCTTTAAAAACACTGACCAGATGCACTGATGACACTTTGAAAAAGGCTTTTCAAAGAAAATGAAAATAAGAAAAAAAAAAAAAAAAGAAAATTCCCGGGCTGTTTTTTATAGTGGTGAAGGCTTTTTACACGCTGGGCTGATTTCAGCCTTTTTTTATGAAACTTCACTGAAATGTAGTGGCTGATCCTACAAACACTTTGGATCGTGTGGAGTTTTCTTTTTTTTTTCGTTTTTTCTTTTTTTTCTTTTTTTTAAACCTTATGATTAATGAGTTAAATTTATTGGCCAGCTGCCCTTTGTAACCATGAATGAGTTCCTAAAAAAAAGGCCAAAAAAAAAAAGGAATCTTTTATCTCATCCCAGGCCTCTCTTCCTCCCTCCCAAAGAAATATTTTTCTATCATAGCAAGCTGGCCAAAAAGATCAATCTCCCTTTTGAAAAAAAATAATCTGTAAAATTAGGAAGAATAATATTTACCTATCTTGCAAGGTTGCCTGGAGGGCTTTATTTTTGCAAAAACACTCCGAAAACAAAATTTTTTTGTTTCCAGCCCCTTTTGGGAGTGGAGAGGTTCAGTTCTCACTGAGCACGGCCTGGCTGGGCATCCCCAAACACAGCCCCTGAAAAAGCAGCTGCAGGTGCTCGGCGACCCGAAGGAAAGAGCTGTAACATCAGACTTTTTTTTTTTCTTTTCTTTTTTTTTTTTTTTTTTTTTTTTAAACAAAACTCGGCAAGGACAAGAGAGCCTCCTGCGGGGAGCAAGTGTGGGGGAAGGCGAGGGGGCGAGCTGAGCCAGACAAGCGCCTGAGTGATAACTTGCCTGAACCCTTTGATAAATGAGTTCACTCTTTTTTCTCCCCCCCTTTTTTTTTTTTCCTTCTTTTCCCCCCTTCATTCGCCACACGCCAGGAACAGAATTGGCCTGAACTAGTGGAATTGGCAGCAAAAAACTAACATACAAGTGTGTCTGGTCAATAGGAGGCTTGTTCCTGCCGCTGGGTGCTGTGTGAGGACTCCGACTGTGCTCTGGCCCCAGAGTTGGACGCTGCAGACACGCTCAGGGTTTTTCTTTTCTTGCCCCTCCACTCTGTCTTTTTAAAATATTCATCAATGGGGTGGGTAGTTTGCTGTAGTCATTAAAATATCTCTCTCCCCTCCCCCTCGCTTTCTGCAGGACTGCCACTGTTGAGTCTGTGGGAATATGAATCAGCAGCAGCAGAGAATGGCTGCAGTTGGGACAGACAAAGAGCTCAGTGACCTGCTGGACTTCAGTATGGTGAGTGAGCGCGGCCGGGGGCTGCGCAGCCCCGGGGCTGGGAGCTGCACAGGGGAGGAAATGTGAGCCTGTAAATTGGACATGATGGGTTTCAGATGTGCCGTGTTTGTGTGCGTGCACATGTGCTGCAACTTGTTTATTTTCAAGTTAAAGCAAAGCCTCTGCCCCTCCTCTCCCCCTCTTCCCCTCAAACGTGTGTTGTTCCCTCGCAGGGAAGGCAGAGAGGTTTCTTCTCTGGATGGGAAATTTTGGGGGAATTAACAAAGTTGTGTGTTCTCTGTTTAAATGCTCACTGGGTGACTGTTTCTGCAGCCATGCAGGGATGTAACTTCAGTAGCTGATTAATCAAGCTTTTTTCCTCTCCCTAGATCCAGACTATTAAACTTTTGCTCCCACAGGTTATTTTGTCACAGTTTGAAATGTGTCCAAGCTCTCCAGCGCATTATTTTTGCAGGAGTTGGACACTTGTGCTCCCCATGCTCTGCTCTTCTGTATCCTGGAAACCTTGAGCTGCATTTAGGAGCTGTTTATTTTCAAAGAAACAGGACCTAAGAGTTCCCCCTGAAGGGTGTGCACAGCTCGGAGGGAGGAGAAGTCCCTTTAGTCACAGCAGAGCGGGGTTAGTCCCTGGCACATCCCGCTGTGGCACTGCCAGCGCTGCTGCCTCTCCTTGGCAGGTGACTCGTGGAGGGCAGAGCTGCTCTTCAAAGGCACATAACTGTCTGTTGGGCTCCTCTGTTGTGTGCTGCACCCTCATGGCACTCCAAGCCTGTGCCTTGCTGTGGAGATAAGCAAACGTGCTGCAGAGATAGAAACAACAGCTCCAGGAGGGGGAATGGCCCTGAGAGTCACCCCAGCCCGGGTCACCCAGCCCACAGCCCTGCTGGGCTGATGTTCCTGCCCCGTGGAGGAGAAGGGACAAAAAGTGGTGGCAGAGCTCGGGTCACCTGCTGTTCTGGTGGCTGTGGCACCTGGGGGTGTGCTGAGGCTCGTCTGCTTTTCTGCATCCGCACACTGAGGTTCAGCCCTGGGAAATAAAGCTTTTTCTCCAGCTGGGGGTTGTACCTGTCCTGACAGGGCTCTGTGCTGCAGGGGGCAGGGGGGTGTCTCTCAGCCCTCCAGGAGCAATTCTCCTGCAGGAGAGGCCCAGTTCTCCCAGTTTCATCCTTCTACTGGGAGGCTGGTTCTGTTAAATTGCTGGTAATGGGCTTTTCTGGCAGAATGTTTTAAAGTGGCTACAGGGACTGCAGTGATGGTATCCCTGTAAAACCAGGAATCTGTTCAGAGTTTTCTGTGGGTATTTGTCCCTCTCAGAGATCCTGCAGGTTGGCAGGAGCCCTGGGGCTTTCCATCAACTGCACTTGGAGTCAGTAACCCAGAATCTGCTCCCTGATGGGGGCTGCAGCAGCTCCTGCTTCGCTTTTTCTCTTCCTTGGAAAAAAATCAAATCCCATTCACCATTTAGAGCTTTAAAAAAACCCCAAGACCTTATTTTCCAATTTAACCAACCATCATCATTTGCATGCCTAGAGCTGTATTCCCAGGAGGAGTCTTGACCTGGTCCCTCTGTCCACAAATGTTTCTGTCCTTGGAGGTGAATCCACACCAAAAAGGTTAAATTTGGGGTTGGATTCAACACTCTTGCACTGCTGTAATTCTGGGAAGGACCAGAACTTATCCTGTGCTCTCCAAGGCTGTTGTGGGGGTGCTGGGGGTTGCTGCTCACAGCACCAGGGCCTGTGGATGTCATTTGCCAGCAAATGACTCGAAGATGTTCCCTGCAGGATCCGTTGGCCGATGGGCTCCGGCGCAGCCTGGACTGCAGCCAGCTCTGTTTCACAAACCCTCATCTCCACACACCCTTCTCCTCTCTTTGCATAAAGGGAATATTAACAGCTCTCCTCGAGGATGAGGAGCTGAAATGGAAAAGCTTCCTAGAGAGTAGATGGGTCTGTTGAAGAGGTGCTCCATGGTCTGCTCTCTCTGTGTCCTTGGGATACAGGATTTTTGACCACAAAGCTCTCTCTTTCAAGCGTATTTATATTTGTCTTTGAATAAACAGGAGTGGAGCATTGGTTCAGTAATCCTCTGCAGGAGAGTAGAGAGGAGGAAAAAGTAGAGATACTCAGAGCAGCTGGAAGCATTTGCTTCAGATCAGTATTTTGATTCCTTTTTTCTAGGAAAAATGTGTTCAGCCCCAGCAGTCTGTGGTCCAGCCCTGCAATGTGTTTTGCTGTGCAGGGAGGGAATTTTAAGGCCCTTAGGGGGTGGCATGGCCTGCCATGAGTTCCTGGGGTCAGTAAATGACAGGGTTGTGTGAGATGCTGAAAACTGGGCTTGTAGTCCTGAAAGAAGAGACTCATCCTTCTTTAATAAATAAATCTCTTGGGTAGATATTGAACTCCAAAGCACTCAACAAAAGCTTTGTGCCACTGTAATTTGCCAAAAAGGGTGAAAATCAAAGGAATCAGTAAGTGAGCAGGAATCAAAGGAAAGGCCCAGTGATGGCTTGGGGTGTGCATGGCAGCACACTTGCCTCTACCCCCAGATAAATTGCCTTTTCTAATTACCCCAAAGTGCAGGTAATTTGTAAGCTTGCCTTCACCACTGCTCCCTGGCAGCAGGCCCAGATGGGCTGCCAAATCTGGAGAGGAGCTTTCGAGAAAACATCCTGCCTATAGACCCGAGTGGGCAGCTCAGCCTATTGATTAGGCTGGGCTTTGGTGGCTGCCAGGCTTTACAGCTCAGCCTATTGATTAGGCTGGGCTTTGGTGGCTGCCAGGCTTTGCAGCTCATCCTATTGATTAGGCTGGGCTTTGGTGGCTGCCAGGCTTTGCAGCTCAGCCTATTGATTAGGCTGGGCTTTGGTGGCTGCCAGGCTTTACAGCTCAGCCTATTGATTAGGCTGGGCTTTGGTGGCTGCCAGGCTTTGCAGCTCAGCCTATTGATTAGGCTGGGCTTTGGTGGCTGCCAGGCTTTGCAGCTCAGCCTATTGATTAGGCTGGACTTTGGTGGCTGCCAGGCTTTGCAGCTCAGCCTATTGATTAGGCTGGGCTTTGGTGGCTGCCAGGCTTTGCAGCTCAGCCTGATGGGCACAGCCTGTGTATGGGGGAGCTGCCCTTGGCCTCTGCTGTTGGGAGATGCTCAACCACAAGGACTTGGAAATGAGGAAAAGGTTCTTCCCCCCGAGGCTGCTGGGCACTGCCCAGGCTCCCCAGGGAATGGTCCCAAGGCTACCAGAGCTCCAGGAGCGTTTGGACAGCGCTCCCAGGGTGGAATTGTTGGGGTGGCTGTGCAGGGACAGGGGCTGGACTGGGTGATCTTTGTGGGCCCCTTCCAGCTCAGCATATTCCAGGATTCTAGGACTTTTTGTAGTTACTGGTTATCCCAGGCAGTGTCTCAGCTGTGCCAGGGCTGCTGTGCAGTGGGGAGGTGCCACCCAGGTGTCCTGGCTGGGCTGGGCTGCTCTGGAGGACAGGGACAGCCCGGGCAGGGGACAGGGCAGCAGAGCAGCCCTGGGGGTGTTGGTGCCACCGAGCGCCAGCCGAGCTGGGAGCGGCCGCGTGCCAGTGCCAGCCGGGGGCTCTGGCAGGAGCGAGGTGCTGTTAACAGCCATGATTATTAGCAGAGTATTAACCATATGCTGCAGGGAGCTGCCTGGCAGAGGGGGTTTCTGGCTCGCTGCAGGGTGGGCAGGGGCTTGAGCAGTCACGCAGGACCTGCCGCTCATCGCTGCTCCCGCTGCGCCGCGGCTCCCGCGGCTCCTGCCCCGCATCCGGGGGTGGCAGCCAAAGTGCTGGCAGCAAGCAGGGCTGGAGCAGCTCCTGCTGCTCTGCTGGAGGATGCTGAGGCTGTGCCCTGCTCCGGCCAAGGCCCAGCGCCTGCATTTCCATGGTAAAACTCGGAGTTCTGTTCAGAGTGAAGCAGCTGTGGAGTTTAAAGTTTGACTACACACACACAGGGGGCATTTGGGATTGTAGACAGGAAGGTCTGTCTTAAGTGAACATGTATAACATGTCCTGCTGTATGTATTTTGAGTCAAATTCCCTCTTCTCCCCAAATTAACAGCTGGATGCTTTCCATGCTGCAAAATAGATTTCAGGTTTGGAGTTCAGGCCTGAGGTTGGTTCAGCCTGGAGTTCATCAGGTGGGAGAGGAGAGAGAATGAGCACTGATTTAATTTGAAAAGAAGTGCACTTCTAGATGTGCACAATAAATGACATGCTGCTTGATGTTCCTCGTTCCTGGCAAATTCCCTTTCTTTCTTGGGGGTTGCTGTATGAAGTGTGGGGTCTCTTGCCTGTAACCTTCTCAGGGGAGGGTGCAGGCATTTGGATCTTCTCATGCTCTGGATTTGCCTCTTTTACCCAGGGAGAAATGAAGGGAGAATAAATTCCTTGGAAGGGGTGGAAATTGAGCTAGGAGGGAACGAAGAAGTTGTCACCTCTCAGGGAGGTTGGAGATAGGACTTGAAAAACCAAATACATCAACTTAAGATAGGGGATTTTACATAACCGTTCAAATCTACATTATTCAAATCTAACAAAAGCCAACTAATGACCCAATTACAACTCTTGAGAGCTCGTGCCTGGGTCCCTCAATGCCTGGGTCCCCTGGTAGGTGCCAGCTCTGGTTCATCTCCTCCCTCCCCCCAGTTTATTTTTAAAGCAGCATTTAAAAGCAGAAAGGAAATTTGCAGTGGGTGGATGAACTTTGCCTCTGAGCAACACACGCCAGCGAAGGCACTTCACGTATGACTTGTGCCGGGCTCCTCGGGGCAGCTTCAGCCCACACCACAGTGGAAAAAGAGGCTGGGAGCAAGAAAAAAGCCCAAAACGCCTCCTGTGGTTGGCAAGTGATAGGTGTGGAGGGGTAATCTGGGGTTCTCTGCTCCCCATCATCCTTCTTTGACATCATGAGGTTATGCCAGGCCTTGGCATGGAGCTCAGGGCAAGGTTCTTCCCCCCGAGGCTGCTGGGCACTGCCCAGACTCCCCAGGGAATGGTGCCAAGGCTGCCACAGCTCCAGGAGCTCCCAGGGGTGTTGGGGTGGCTGTGCAGGACAGGAGCTGGGCTGATCATCCCTGAGGGTCTCTTCCAGCTCAGGGTATTCCAGGATTCTTTTCTTTAGCATCTCTACTTGCCCTGCTGCAGGAAGGGGTCCATGACTCCTTAATCCCCTGGGGAAGGAGAGCAGGAAGGTGTTGCATCAGCCTCAAAACCTCTCTCCAAGCAGTTGGAGGAGGGGAGAGGTTCTCTGGGCTGTGGGGCTGTGTTTTGGGGGTGCTGGGCATTGCTGTCCTGGGGGGACACTCCTGTTCTGCACAAGCAGAAGGTGCTGGGTGCATTATGGAACAAGGCTGTTCCTTTTCTCCCTTCATGTTTGCTGTTCAAACCTTGCACTTTTCATCCTCAGCAAGTGCTGAGCAGAAATGCTCATGAAAAGAGCCAGCAGTGCCGTTTTGGGAGGGGGGTTTGTTTGTTTGTTTGTTTGTTTGGGGTTTTTTGTTGGGTTTTTTTTTTTGGTTTTTTGTGTGAGTGTGCTTTTTGCTAGTCAGTTCATGATGCATCCCTTCCCCCCTGCTCGCACATGCAGACCTGCCCCTTGCCACTTGGCAAAAAGGGAGTTTGATCTCAATCTTCCCTACCTTGACAAGAGGGAGTGAGCGCAGGCAGGGTGGGATCAGCCACCTAAGTTCAATTTTCAGCACGATTGGAGATGTTTGCAGAGCCCCCCTGCAAGGGGGAGGGGATGCAGGGAAGCCCTGCAGCAGTGCAGAGGAAGGTGAGCTGCAATCTTTGGGGTTTGTTTTTATTTTCTAGCCCAACTTCCTGAGGAAACAAAGCTCATCTGATGGTGGGGCTGCTGGGCCACCCCAAACACCTCGGGGTGAGCAGCAGCCTCGGGGCACATTGAGGGGGCCAGGGGGCTGCGTGCAGGCAGGTGAGGGCAGGTGTGTGCAGGCAGCTGGGATGAACACTAAACACTGTTTACACCTTCATTTAAATCTGTGTATAAAACATCTACACCCTGCACATGCATATATATGATCCCAAATTTGTGCTCTTTATGAATGGCAGTTGGTTCCTTAACTGCTCTCTTTGCATCTTTACCACATTTAACTGTTTTTTGTTGTTTTTTTTTTCTCCTTCCCAGCATTTGTGAAAACAAAGCTGGGCAGACGGTTCTGTACAAAGGAATGTTTCTGACCACAGCCAGACATCAGCTATGTCAGGGCATGAAACGTTGCCTTTCTGTAGGCTCTTGTGCCATTATATTGTTTAATCTTCAAAGCATTAAACTTTTGAGTTATTCAGACATTACAAAGCTAAAAATAATAAAAATTCAAATGACTTGGTGGTGAAAGTATCTTGAGTAGAAAAAGGATATTAAAATGTTAATTCACTAAGCGTTTTCCCACCAGTTGTTTTATTGGCTGGAGCTCCATTTGTGTGCAGGAGAATTAGTTTTCTTTTCTGCTGCACGCAGGTGCATGTAAATTATTAAATAGCAGCCTCTGAAACTCTCCCAACTTTTATTAAAAATATTTATACAGGTTAGGTGACGAGGTGTGTTTTTGAGGAAGCTCCTGGCAGGAGAGGCTCAGTTGTGATAATGAAGCTGTAGTGATAGAGCAAACAAGTCCCCAGAATGACTTATTCTGTGAAATATATTAATTTTTAAAATCCTGAGTAACTGTATTTGCCCTTGGAGCAGCTTCCTCTCCCCAGGCCCCAGGTCTGTGTCAGGTCCTGGTGCTGCTGGAGCCCCTAAAGCAGCAGGGTGGGAGCTGCTCCATGAGGATGGGGGCTCATCTGTGAGCCCTTGTCCTGCCCAGGCCCTGCACGTGGCTGGAGGTGTGGGATGGGAGCAGGACTCCTGTGGGAGCTGGGATAGTGAGGGATAAAACAGCTTTGCTGTCGTTATCCTGCTGGCCTTTTATCAATGGAGTCGGCCTTTCCCAGGGCTCACCTGTAGCCAGGGTGAGCAGCTTTGGCATGGAATGTTGGTTTGGACCACGGCAGGGATGCTCCTGGCTGGTCTCCAGCTGCCCCTGCAGAAGCAGGGGTTGTACACGAGGGAATGTGTGTGAGAGCAGGGCTGGGCCTCCCTCCTGCCCCTCCTGAGCGATGGAGCAGGGACACCAGGAAAGGTTTTTGCATCAATAATGGGCTGCCTTCCCCCTCCCCTCCCCCAGTGTGACCCCTTTGCAGCAGCACAGTAAAACCAACATACTGAAATCTCTTTTCTCTTCCCTTCTCTCTCATCTCCTTGTTTTTCTAGATGTTTCCCTTGCCAGTGGCTAATGGAAAAAACAGACCCACGACCCTTGCGAGCACTCAGTTTGGAGGATCAGGTACTGTCATCTTGTTTTTCCCCTTATACCATAATGTTTCTTGCAATAAATTTGTGTTTGGTTCCAGAGACACCGTAGAGGAGGGTGTTCTGTGTTTTGGTGATGTATTTTTCGGGTGGTGCTCTGCTGCTGTTTCTCTGGATGGTTTCCTTGTTGCTCCATGTGTCTCTGGGTGGGCAAAGCTGCTCTTGCTGAGCTGTCTCCCATTAAGATGTTGCTGCCTGAGCTGGAGGTTGTTGTCCCACTGCTCCAGGAGCCTGGGAGCAGACAGGGCTGCTCTCTAAGCTGCTTAGATGTGTCTGCACTGCCCTGGAAGACTTTTGCTGTTCCCTTTTGAAGATGGGTGGTGGTGGCTCATTCCTGGCACACTGTGGGGATCTGCTCCATGCAGCCCCTGCAGCAGCTCACTGCTGTTGGGTGGGATCTCAGCATTCCCAAAGGGATCTTGCAAAGCCTTCCAGGGTGCCAAGAGGGGAGCAGGGATGCCAACATCCAAGGGCCTTGGGAGCAGGGCAGTGGGGAGGAGTGGGCTGGAGAAGTGGCTGCAATTGGAAGCTGAAAATGTGCTGGTTGGTTTGAGGCTCAGGGGGAGATTGCTGGACAGTGCTGGGCCAGGGTTTTAATGCCCAGGGAACTGCTCTGTGCAGGGCTCACACAGCCCCTGGCACGAGGGAAGTTCAGCTAATCTGCCCTCATTGCTGAATACTTTGTGGATGGTTAAAACTCGACCTTCCCTGTGCAGGGAAACTCCTGGCTGTGCTGTGACACTGGGAGCATCCCAGAGTCTGGGCTGGGATTTCTAGAGAGCAGCTTTGATGCCCCAGTGGGGCACTGGGAACCTGCAGCAGCAGGGTGGGAGCTCTGCCCTGCCTTGCCCTCCTGCTCCTGCCCTCCTGGAGCAGGCAAATGTGATGCTCTCCAACTGAGCTGTTTAGCTGCGTGTCAAGATGGTTTTGAGCAAACACTTTGGCAGGGAGGGAAGCTGTTGAGTGGGTGCTGGAGGAAATTGGAGGGGAGAAAACTCTCGGGTTAGCCCAGATGGAAGCTGATCTCTTCAGCGAGTGTTCCTTGTGTGCCTTCTGCTGTTAAAATAATCCACAAAAGACGTGCTGCACACTGGGGGGAGTAGAGCAGAGCAGGAGCTCCCATTAACCCTTTTCCTGCTTAGAGCCTGCCTTGGCTGCCAGCTCCGTGGTGCTGGCCAGGAGCAGAGCCTGGAGCAGGGCCCTGCAGCACAGCCAGACCCCCTCCAGCCCAAATGACACCAAATCTTTGATTCTCCCCCCACCCCTTCTTTTCTTTCGGGTGAGTGAAAGGTAATGTTGACACCACCCTTCCTCTGGGCTGCTGCTCTCTGGGCCTGCCTGGGAGCAGTTCATAAAAACAGAGCACTGGTGTTATACAACTGCACTGAGGGACATTGCACAACCCCTGCTGTCCCAGCCTCGGACACAGCAGAGGCTCCCTCATCCTGCTGTGGGCATCCTGCCTTGGGAATGCAGCTCAGGGCTGGGTGTAGGGAAAGAGCTTTGCTCCAGCAGCAGATTTATCCCTTGGTCAGCCATTCTTGGTCTCACCTGGAGTTCAGGGGACAAATTTCATTTAAGTGTCAGCTTTGGGACTTCTTCCTGCTCCTGCATCTTTGGCTTTTTGCTGGTGGGTGAGTAACTGCAGTATGACATCAGCGAGCTGTGCCATGCAGAAGGCTGTGCCCTGCCTGTTAGAAGGATCCAAGGTGCCTAAACAAGGCCCTAGAAAATGGCAAGAGGTTGTTCTCAGAAATTGTTGCTTTGTTGGTTTAGCTTTATTCACAGATGCAATCAGGTACTAGTTACAATTGCAGAATCATGGAAGGCTTTGGGTTGGAAGGGACCTTAAAGCTCATCTTTTTCCATCTCCTGCCATGGGCAGGGACACCTTCCACTAAACCAGGCTGCTCCAAGCCCCTTCCAACCTGCCCTTGGTCATCCCCCAGAGTAGATCATCCCCCAAGACACAGGCAGTCAGCCAGCTCAAAATCTGATTTGAAGTCATCATTAACCTTGATGTGGTCAGAGGATGGAGAACAAAGGTCTGGGGGATCTGGACTTGCAGGGGGAGCAGAGCACCTCACAGCCACACCATAACCTGGACCTGGAGGTGATCACCCTAGATCTTGCCGTGCAGGAAGGCCTGGGCTTCTTCTTTAATGTGCCACATGTGTTCCAGGCACTTCTCAGCCAGGGGCCTGGACCAGCAGTGAAGGCAGTGCAGCATTTCCCCTCTGCCTGCAAAGAAGAAGCAAACACTGATTTGTCTGAGTCTTAGCTTGGTGCTGTGCACCACAGCACCAGGATCTCTTTATTTGGGCTTGTTGTGGTAACCTTAAGATAACAAACTGATGTTGTCTTGTGTGCCAAGAAATAATGGTGTTTTATCCTTCCCCCAGGATGGGAGCCAGTCCCTGGGTTGGTGTAATTGGGTTGGACATGGGAATTCATGATCTCCTCTTCCCATCTCAATGTGGAAATGCTGGGGCAATGTGCAGCTTTTATTCTTTTTCCCCTCCAAAAGAGCTGTTATCTCCAGGCTCTTTCCTCCCCAGGGAAGTGAGGAGGGAAGGAGGGAAGGGAGCAAAGCACTGACTGATCAGTCCTGGCCAAAATGAGATTTTTGCTTCCAAAGCCCAGCTGGTAAATAAAGGAACAGAAGCATTTGAAACAGGCAATCCCAGTGATAAAATTGTCCCAAATTCAAATCCTTTACAAATTCAACATTTCTTTACCAGAAGTGTTGTTAACCATTGCCTGCCCAGAGCAGGAATGGAATCACCCTCCCTGGAAGTGCTGAGAACAGGTGTTGATGTGGCACTTGAGGACATGCTTTAGTGGTGAACATGGTGCTGGGCTGACAATTGCACTTGAACATCCTAAAGATCTTTTCCAACCTTATCAATTCCATGTTTCTAATAACTGCCCTGGCCAAGCTGCTGGTGGCCCCTTTACCAAGGGAACCCCTTTTTCTCCCTGGGGCCAGAAAAATTCAAAGTTTTTATGCAAACCCTCCAGCTTTGACATCCCTTTGCTTTCCTATTTACCTCCTGCTTTTATTTTAAGCCCTGCCACTGTTTCCCTCATTTCTGTCCTCAAATGCTCCGGGGAGGAACTGGTTTTGCTCCCCCGCCGCATGGACAATTCAGCACCTCCGCTTTGCCTTTTCTTGGCAAGGAGAGACCCAACAATTGCCACAAGGATGGAGCTGACGTCACCCAGCCCGTGGCTGCAGCATTTATAGCACATATAGGTCACCGCGGGAAGTTGGTCTTCCTGGGGCTGGGAGCTGCAGCCAGTGTTTGCCAGCATGGGCTGTTTTCTGCTGGGCTTTTATTTTAGCCAGGGTGCTCAGCCCATGCCTCTAAGGGGTTCACCTTCCCTTCCCCAAAGTGTGTTTGTTTCCTGCAGTAGCAAAACATCTCAAAGCGTGTCCCCCGTCGTGTCATAGTTCATAAATGACTAATCTGAGCTGCAGCAAGCTCCCTCCCAGTGCTTCATCGAGCCCTGCCTCAAGCAGGAAACCACTGGGGCTGAATTTCACATGGAAATGACCATTTTAATTGACATCGAGGCAGTGGGAGTGGCTGGAGGCAGCAGAGTTGTGCTGTGGCCTCGTGGCTGCTGAGTTTTCGGCAGGGTTGGTGCGTGCCGGCTGCGCCTTTGCTCCAGCAAAGGGCTTTGGGCTCTGCAGAGCAGGGAAATAAACCCAAGGCATGTGCTTGTGTGTGAGGGAAAACATCTCCTGGAGCAGCACACGAGCAGCACTTCCACCTGTGGGTAGTGTGGGGGGTGTGCAACCATCTCCATTCCCATCCCAAATGTTGTGGGGTGCCAGGACTGCGTCCTCATGGGACGGGAGCCATGGGGTCTCCTGCTGACAAATTATTCTGCTCTCAACAAGAAAAACCTCTGTTAATTTTTGTTTTTCTTTTCCTCCCTTTTAAAACAAGCGAATTCAGCATTAATGCCTTTTTCTTCATGCTTTGTGCCAAAGTGGGTTGGGCTCTTTGCTTGGGCTCTGGGGTGGGTTTGGGAGGGAGAGTCCCCTCCCGGCCCATGCTGCGATTCCCACCCCCAAAATTCGTTGGGTGCTTTCTTGCTCGTGAGCTGAGGCTCCCTGTGAGGGAATTGCTTTGATCGGGGGAAGTTCATCAAGTCCATTTGAAGCTGGTGGAGCAGGGAGTTTTTCAAAGGCTTACAAGCTGGTGCATGTAACAAATTTTAAGTTATAGTCTGGTGAACAAAGCAAATGGATTCTCCCTGGAGGGAGGCGAGCCCGGATCCCCTTTGAAACTCTCTTTAAACAGTGCACAAACTCAGATACCTGTGGCAACAGCACCGAGAGTCATAAATTCTATGAAAGCTGGGGTTGTCTCTTTAATTGGTGCTATGGGGGAGCTGTTTGAAGGTTTAATTATTTTGAGTGTACAGGCAGCCCTGCGTTGGGAAGCACTGAGCAGGATGGGCAGGGTCTGGTACAGCAGGATGGTGCTGGGCTCCCCTCTGCCCCTGGAGCTGGGTGGTTTGCAGGGACACCACGAGGCAGGGCTGGGAAGAGCCAAGCACAGCGTTTCTGTCACCATGCTGTCAGCAGTTGAGTCCCAGGCTGCAGAAACCCATTTGCAACTGTTTTCCATAGTGAGGAAAGCAGGAGCTTTTATTAGCAAGGCTGTATCACGTTTTCCTACTAACTGCCTCGAGTTCCCACATGTTTTGCTTATGCTGAAGTGGGAGTGCTGGGCTCTGCTTGCTATTTTGATGGATGATGAAAGGCAGACATGAGGTGTGCAATATGGGACTCGATATTTAGAACTGGCACTTCCCCTTCAAGTTTGGGATCCGGGCTGCGTGTTTTTGTGGTGTGCCCATGCAAACTGTCACCAAACACACCAAACACAAAGCCACCACAACACAAAAAGGCAAAGCAGGAAAATTCACTTGCCAGGCTGTTGGTGTGACCATTTGTTT